GTCAATACACAAATAAAAACAGAAAAAACAACAAAAACTCCACATTTAACACCGAAACACACATTTAGGACATAAACACACACAGGCTGCACTTCCTTGCTTAAACAGAACTTAAAAAATAACAAAAAAAATTCCTGACATGCCTCCCTTTAAACTACAACATGAGACGGCCTCCACCACCTAGCATCTTAGCTAACTCCCCGACCTTTTTCCATCGGAATTAAACAGTGCTCAGGCCTCAAAAGTCACTGTAACCGTGTAATCCTATCCGGGTGAGATAACAAAAATGACAAGGCTGAACGGCTCCTCTCAACCTGCTTCCTACCAGTAGCCAACCCAGGCAGCACAGACGTCTCTGTGCCGACTAGTTTCATTAGCCACGGTGCAGCGGTTAACACCACTTAACTAGAGATGCGCATCTCAACACATATACTTCAAAGTACGCGTACTTACACATAAACCACCAGAGAACACACTTTATCTCTGTGGCGGGCAACACTGTCATAAAAAAATAACTAATAAAATAGCTTAGCAAGGTTGGACACACGAAGAACAAAGCAAAGCCAAAACTCCAGTGGAACTCCGCAGGAAGTGAGAGGTAGAGAAAAAAAAAAGATGTAAACCAGATGTCTTGTAACACAGCTTCCCCCCACTACGCTATAACTCAGTTTGGACAGGACAAAGGACTGTCTTGAACCAAACCAAACTTTTAAATCTTGAACGGCCAGCGTTCAAATTTCCACTAAATCAAGCTTTTACACACAAACAAACTAATTAACATAACAATGAACAGACGACAAAACATAAAAATTTAAGAAACATAAACTGGATCCCTTTATTTTCCTTTCTCTTTTTTTTTTCCTTCAAAAACTGGCCAGACACATTTAAACTTTTATTTCAATACTGAGAGACGTCTGTATTCTCACCCTTCACTGCTTTTTACTCTGTAGCTGCACTTCTAATCCTCAAATTTAATATTCTCAACACAAATGTCGGCATTGTTTGCCCTCTATATTTCAAATGTTCTTCACCTCAGCATAAAAACACTGCTGCTACCTCTTGTAAAATTGAATCTGACGGAATTACATGCCTTTTCCGATCCCGGATTAGGAAACACCACGGCTRGACAATTTAAAACATAAAAGGAACAGTTTTATCGTGCTTTAAGCTGGTTTACGACATCTCGTGTCACGGCAAAGCACGCTTTCGCGCTCATAACATGCTACGCCCAGCCCCCCTTTCTCTGCAGCTCCTCTTTGTTCTCCACGGAACCCTTAATTCGACAATAAACGCTCTTTTTAACCCCAATAAAAACACAGATACCCAAAAACACAAAACATAAACGCTAGCATGAAAGCAGATACAC